ATAAGTAAATTAGAGATATCAAATTTACCTATACATGATAAAGAATCTAACTTTTTAAACAAATAGGGATGGGTATTAAATTTTGGGAACGAAAATGTGTATAATTTTAAATTTTTTATTAGATACGAGAATGGAGACAGATAATATAATATCCGCCCCATGCCTTATATATAATTATTAAATAAATTTTTTATTAAATAATATTAAAATTTTTTTGGAGTAATTAAAATAAATATATTTTTATTTAAAATATATATATTAATATATATTTACAAAAATTACATAAATATGAAAAATAAATTAAAAAAAGTAAAAAAATAAAAATTGATTTTTATTTGAAAAAAATTACGGGTATGAGAATTACCCATACCTATTAAATACCTACAGAGATGGGAAAATGAATAAATTTAAAATATTCATTGGATATAGATACGAGAATATATATAATATAAAAATTTAAAGATAAAAACAAAAAATACTTTATCTGTCTTATACTCTATCCATTAACACCTTTATTTTAAGTATTACTAATATTTTAAAACTCGATTTCTTTCACCTTTTCATCTATTTTTTTTCTCTCCTTTTCTCTAATTATATTTTATCTCTTTCTCTTTTTCTCCTAAACATGTGTGAACATCACATGAGCATGAAAACTCATTTTAATATATTCATTGTTATACCAAAAAATTAGTGTAACTGGAATTAATATTACAATATTATTTTTATCTATAATACTATAACATTTAGAAGAAAATATATAATAATATAATATTTAAATAAATACATATTTACTTGTAATTTAATGATAATAAAAATCTATAGATGATGCAATATATTTTTTATTTTTATAATGAGATTACATTTGTATTATGAAATAAATAATTGTGAATGAAATAATTATTTATCAATTACAACAAACCAATCATTTACAAGTAACATCAAACTAACATATAACATGTATTATAAAAACAATTAAGAAAAAAAAAACACCTAGTTAGTGTTATTATAACGATTTTGGAGATTGCTACATGAATTTTGAAAACAAAAGAAATGAATTCGTTACTAATCTTTTTTGGTTAAGTGTGATTGGTCACTATTAAAACTTATTTTTTAATAAAATTTTAAAACTAATTAAAATTTATTAAAAATATAATTTTTGGATCTACGAAAATAATTTACGTTCAAACTTCGATTACGTATGAGGAAGAATTAGCAACCCCACGACGCCTGTTCAAAAATGGTACCAATTTAATTATGTATTATCTTTTAATATTAACAAAAAATGGTCTTAATTTTTGGCATTTAAAATTTAATTTTCTTATTTTTCTTTAAAAATATATTTTTATTTTTTAGTAAGCTTGAAAAATAAGTAAGAACCTTATATTGAAAATTTTTCACTCTGACAATATTAAAAAGAATCATCTCACCTAAAGACTTTTTAAGAATCGCTACTCGAAATTCTTAAAAATCCTATTCTCGGTGATTCATATTTATTATTGTAAAATATGATATCTATAATTTAAAAAACAAATAGCATTTTCTCAAAAACTCATTTCTATTCCATTTATAAAAGAATCAGAAATCTTTATAAAAAATTAATCTAAATGTTTCAATACATTGATAGCATTTTAGATAGATTTTCTTAACTAAAGATTCTTAAAGATTTATTACTCGAATTTCTTTAGGATTTCATCTTCAGAGATTTTTTGTTTGTTTTTTATAAAAATTATTAAAAGTCATGTAATAATATAATTATCTACAAATACATTTATTTTCTAAAAACATACTTTTATTTATTAAGAAAAATTGTTCAAATAAAAGAAAATAATTAAGGAATGAAAAATTTTTTATATTGAAAACAAACTTCTAAATATTCCAATACTTTGGTAATTTCTTTAGGATCCCATCCTCGGAGACTTTTTGTTTGTTTTTTATAAAAATTATTAAAAGTCATGCAATAATATAATTATTTACAAATACATTTATTTCCTAAAAACATACTTTTATTTATTAAGAAAAATTGTTCAAATAAAAGAAAATAATTAAGGAATGAAAAATTATTTATGTTGAAAAGAAACTTCTAAATATTCTAATACTTTGACAGTTTTTAGAAAACTTTTCTTATCTAGAGAGTTTTTAGGAATTACTACTCGGATTTCTCGAGATCCTATTATCGAAAATTTCAATTGCATTTAAAACTATATACTGCAAATAATCAAGTAGAATATGCATATGAAAAACATATATTGCTTATGTTTTAATTCTCTTTACTTATTTTCCAATTATCACTAATACTTTTGAAAGGTACAAAGTAAATAAAAAATCTTATTGAAAATTTTCCTAGATACCTTGATATTTTAGCAGTATTTTAGAAAAATTTTCTCACCTAAGAATTTTTTAGGAATCTCTACTCAAACTTTCTTAGAATCCTATCCTTAAAAATTTTTAATCACTTTGTCCTTTCTTAATTAATTAATTTTTTTGTTCTAATTTTTAAACTTTAATTATATTAATTTCATTACTAAAAGAGTCATTACACGTTATTATTAACTTCTACCAAAATTTTAGAAAAATAGACAAATGAAACTTCTTTTTTGTATTGAATATTTTTCTTAATACTTTATTACTTTGGTAGTATTTTTAGAAAAATATTCTCACCTAGACATTTTAGAAAATCACTACTTGGATTTCTCTAAAATATCGTTCTAAAAAATTTTCATTCAATTTCTTATTAATAAATTTTTCATAAATCTAACATACATGAAAAGCAATTATTCAAAAAGTAAATTGGAATATAAAATTTCAAATTGCATAAGAAATCAAGACAAATACATAGATCTACTCACAAAAAGTCTTTAAAAAAATAAAAAATTGAAATTGTAAAAGATGTGTGCATAACTTTGAATGATAAGTCATGTATGAAGAGAAGCATATTGGAGAACAAGCAATTTTAGCATGTATTGAAGCTTTTGTTTCTTATTAAAGTAAAATAAAAACTTATGGCTCTTTACCAACGTCACCTTCCATGCAATATTTTTTGTTCAAAGTCATAAAATGATAAAAAAAGGACTTTGACAAGTCTTAAACTACAAGTCCTAGCATTTATACTTTGAAGACTTTTCTTTTTCTTCTTTTTTAGTTATTGGTAAAGTTTTCTAAGGTCATAATGCTGTTGCTCATCCTCTAATCTACTTTTTCTAAGAAACCATTCAAAGCACAAACCAACCATAATACTTATGGCATCAGTACATGAAAACAAACTTGGAACTAGATTAGCAACTATATCCATATGTAATCATCAACAAAAAAAATGGTCATAGCATTAAAAGGGACACAATCCAACTAAACTAGCAAACTTTGCATCAAATAGAACTAGTTATAGTGAGGATGAAGGTAGCAAACCCTAAAAGAAGAGGAGTTTGTTCATGAAAATGACAACATATCACATGAAAGACAATGAAATGGCTACCTTTGCTTTCCTGATTTTTTCTTCAAAGAAATGTTTTTTTTTTCTTCTCTTTTTTTTAAACTTGGCACCTTCTTCTTCCTCTTTTCAGATAAACCCCTCATTTTTTGTGGTAATCTTTTTTTTCTCCCTTCTTTCTCCTTTTCTATTCGACTTTTTTTATTTTTTAGTTGTTCTTTTTTTCCTTTATTTTATTGTCCTTTCTCCAATTTTACATGCTCTCTTCTTTTTAGCTTTCCTAGCTTTCTTTCCAATTCAGCAAACCCCTTACTCCTTTTCCAATTAACTTATTTCTATTTATTTTCTTCTTCTTTCTCTTTCAAACTTACTATATTTGACTTACTCTCTATTTTTTTAGTAACTTCTTTCTCTCTCTCTCTCTCTTTTTTTTTATGTGTTTGACTTTTTTTTTCTCAACCTTTCAGCCCTCTCTAGCCTCTTCTCAGCAGACCCTTTACTCTTTTTCAATCAACTCTTCCCTTCCATTTTAATAGTTAGCCCCTCATAAAAATCTTATTCTTGGTGAATATAGACCTTTTGATGAGATCTCATCCAAGGGTCAAAACATTTTTTTTTTTTTTGGTTTCAAGGAACCACATTTGGCTATTAGATCAGGATCAATAAAAGATCTAATAATTCATATTATTCACTGTAAAAATTGGATTTTTATATCCTTCAAGCATATAAAAAGACCATTTTACCTCTAGAGCAAAGTTTTCAATATTTAGGTTATATTTTTAGAAATCAATGTTTTCATGCTCATTTTTAGGATTTAAAACATAAAAAATCATGAAATATTATGAGATTGAGATCTGAAAAATTTTATGAAAATCTAAGCTTGGTAAGGTCAAATTATGAAAATACATTTATAAAGGTTTTTTCGTAATTAGAGATATTTTCGTAATTTCACACTTTTTAAGGTAATGTTATAATTTCAAATGCACAAAAAATCATGAAATATTATGAAATTAAGATATGAAAATTTTTATGAAAATTTAAGCTTGAAAAGGTCAAATTATGAAAATATTCTTATAAGGGTATTTTGGTAATTTCATATTTTTAAGGTACAACTGTGATTTTAAATGTACAAAAAATAATGAAATATTATAAAATTAAGATATGAAAAGTTTTATAAAATTTTGAGCTAAAGAAAATCAAATTACGAAAATATATTTTATATGAATATTTTGATAATTTTATACTTTTTCAATGCAATAAAAATTTTTAATATTTTAAAAATCATCAAATTTAACTTAAAATTATATTAATTCCACTTAGATTTTAAACTTTAAAAATTAACTCTAGTTTTATTTATTTTAATCAAATTTTATGTAATTTTGACTTAAAATTTACTCATTTCATTAATTTTTTTATTTTTCATATATCGATATGAAAAGTTATCATTCATATGTTCTAACTTTTGGTAGGAGAGGGCTGAGGAGGTGGTATCCAGTAATCCAGAAAGGAAGACACGTGTAATCCAGGTGGCAAAATAAACAAAGAGACAGCCTCTGTCAGGCTACCCAACTCATACCATTTTGCAAAACACACATACCCTCTCTCTCTTTTCCACCAGACTCTTCCCTTTCCAATTGCCATTCCCTTATCTCCTTCTATTTTCCCTCAATCTTTCCTTATTACGCCCGCAACTCAATTTTTTCTATTTTCTTCCTTCCTCTTTTTCTCTGTTAGGGTTTTATTTTCTTTTCGCTTTTTTTTTTTAATAATCATAAACGAAGCTATGTCGAAGAAGAGGAAATCCGATGCTACGCGCCTGGACGAGGTGGATCGGAGCATGTACACCACCTTCTGCAGCGCGGCTAACTCGCTTTCGCAGCTTTACTCGCAGGCCATGAACCACCAGCGCCTCTCGTTCCAGGCCGGTGAACGTCACGCGCTGGTTTGCTTCTATCTCTATGTTTTCTTCCATTAGCTCTCTTTTTTTTTTTTTCCTTATCTCAGATCTCTATCTCTTTATCATAATTTTCCTTTTTGCTTAATTTGTTGGAAAATTGTTAATTTGCTAGGTTTGAAGAGGAATGAATTAAAATAAATGGAAAATTCTGTTTGGAACAAAATTGTAAGAAACATGATTATGTATTGAAAGAAATTAAATTGGGTTAGTATCTAATTGCCAATTTGGATTTGAGTTTTTGTTGCAATCTGGTAAAAGGTGTCAACTTTGTTTCTTTCTGCTAATTTATTTCTTTCCCTCAAAAAGTGGAAATTTTATGTTAGTTTCTCTACCATTATTGAAAATTGAATTGTTTTTCCCTACTGTGTAATTGGTGTTGGGATTTTGCTTACTTTGCTCTGTTTTTGCAAATTGAAGTTTTTGAATGCTGATTGAAGCTTATCAAAAGTTCTTTGTTGTTTGTTATGCTGACAAAGTAAGATAAAACAGTCACATATGTTTTAGAAAGATTATTACATTGTAGGGGGATTGTCCCAATAGCTCAAGCCTATATTGAAGAGCCATGAAGCCCTCAAACAAATATATGATAGCACTATGGCAATTCAGAAGCTGCATGGTGGCTGCTTTGAGCTCCTCTAAGCAGTCATAGTTTAACAGTCACATATGTTTTAGAAAGATTATTACATTGTGGGGGGATTGTCCCAATAGCTCAAGCCTATATTGAAGAGCCATGAAGCCCTCAAACAAATATATGATAGCACTATGGCAATTCAGAAGCTGCATGGTGGCTGCTTTGAGCTCCTCTAAGCAGTCATAGTCTCGGCCGTGGAAAAATTGACAACTGTGGCAAGCGTGAACGCCTTTATTTGTCTTTTTGATATGAAACTAAAAGGCAAACAGTTTCCTAACTCTTCAACTTGTACTCTCATGATAGATTTCCCTGCATCTAATTCTTTGCTCCCTCTAATGTTATTTACTGGTTTGTTTATTTACGTTGAATTTTTCTTGTGGTTGATTTTCTTCCTTGCTTTTACTCCATTGGTCCCGTATTCTTGCTCTGCCTTGTCTTAGATTTTAAAAATGAACAAGAGCGTTTGTTCTGGATAGTTTCAGCCTACTATGTTCCTGTTTCTTCATCGAAATGCTTCCCTCTGATTGTAGGATTGAAATTCTTGTTTCTCCATTTTTAAATATTGCTGTAGACTTTCATTCGGCTTTCACTTTTCAATTGTCCAGTGGGTGTTGCATCTAATTAAATAAATCCTTCCTCTTTCCCTTTTTCCCTGCAGGAGAAACTTTTTCAATGGATTCTGAGGCAGCAAGAAGAAGGATCAAGGGTGACAACAGCTGATATATTTGCTTATTTGCAGGTATCTTTTGTGATATCTTGCTCTTATTGTTTTGATGAATCTGTTTGATGAATTATTGTTCCTTTTCTTTGGTACCTTTCTCTACAACAACAATGTCTTATATCTCATAACTCTGGGGTTGGCTATATGAAAATCCAAAAAAAGAAATCATGTTAGGTCTTAGTTTTAAATCTTCTTGCGCCAAACATGTTTAAAAAAGGGAATCTTTAGTACCATTCTCTACTCAATTTTATATTCTTTCTATTGAACTTAATGCTTCGAACATTCAAATAGTCTGTTTTTGCATCATTCTGGTGAATTTAATTAGAGTTTCCTGACAGTTAAGAACTGTATGTTTTGGGGGTTTGAACAGAAATGAGTGGGAGGATGAGGACGGTAGCGTAGGATAGAATAGAAGAGACTGTTTGATATGTAGTTGATAGACAAACAGCTTAGGTTGTTTTCTTGCAATTTTTGTTTCTTCTACACATTTTCAAAATATGGTGGAACACAAAGAATAGTTACGTTTATATGGAAAATTGAAGTGACCTTCGAGTATTATCTTATCCATTTTTTTAAAAAATTTCTGTAGAATGAGCTTGAATATGGAGCAGAGGAGTCTCCAATGTCCCCCAGGCTGTCATTTCAGCACCAGCACCCTCAAACTGCAACACACCCAAACACTTTAGGTGCTCCTTTTTGTTCTACTCCAATTTCACCAGCAACAATTACGCAAGGAATTCGATCTGGGGATTACCAAGCAAAGAATTCCGTATTCTCAAATGCACTCTCCAGCCCTGTTCGTCGTAGCCTTCAGCAATACCACTCAGTCCAGGGTGGTTACAATTCAAATAATGTTGTGTCTGCTGCCAGTGGACCTCGGAACAATGAGACCAACAACTACATTCACCAACAAAACAGGGAAGCCAATTCCCCAGGCACTACTGATTGCATGGACATGCATGCTGATAGTCCAGGCCGTGATTTCCCTTTCTGAAATTTCTCTCTTGTCATTTATTTATTTATTTTTCTTTTTTTTTTTTCTGGTAAAATTTCTTGTAAGACTGGAAACTCAAAATTCTCAATGTTTATGTATAATAATATATTATATATTTCTCTAATAGTGGTTGCCCAACCAACGATTTTATATAATTTATAAAACATTATTAACTCAATCGTTGTAGAGACCTAAAGTTTTCGGCCAAAATTTTGTTTTTTTATTTTATTTTTTAGTTTTGGTTTTTTGGTGCTGTTGGTCCTTGTTTTCAAGGGCTATTGTTTCTTGGTTATTCGGTTTTTTAATAGGCTAGAAAATTTTTTTTTTTGGGTTGCAACTAGGAGGTTTTTTTTCCTTTTTTTTTCTACAAAGCTTTCTTTTCTTTTTCTAGGTTTTTTGGGTTTTTCATTTTGCAAATTTCTAGGTGTAGGTTCTTAGTGTTTTTTGTAGGGTTTTTTTTTAGGTTTTTTCTCATTGGATAAATGTTCTATGTATAGAGTCAAACAAGATCTAAGATCTTAAAAAATTTGGGATCTTTTGTTAAAAATTTGTTCAAGGTTAGTTCGGTTGACAGGGGGTTATTGGTGGCTAACAATATGGCTAACGGTGGTTGGGATTTTGAATTTGAAGATGGGTGCATTTAATGCATCGAGATTTTTGGGCAAAGACCATAACAAAGATAAAAAATGAAAAGAAAAAAAAAAAACAGAATGGTGTTTATAGATAGCAAATGGAATGATAAGGGCACGGGTAATTATTTGGGGATGAAAGCTTAATTGTTGCACAGGTTGACAAGGATAAGAATTTTGGGAGAGATTATTTGTAGAAGAGTAATAAGGTAAGTATATTGGATAAGGTTGACATGGGGTGAAGCCTTCACTCTGTTGCCCCTCATAAATCATAACTTGAGCATCTCCTTCCTTCTTCTTTGGTACATCATCTTTCTTTGCAACATTTGTACCACTTTCCTTAATTTTGTCATTCTTGATTACATTCTCTATCATCTCCCCAGAAATCACCATATCAGTAAAATTCTTAGTAGTATTTCTAATCATCTTTTCATATATAAGGCTTTGAGAGTATTGGCAAACAAAACCATAGTCTCTTTATCAGTGAGTGGTGGTTAAACTTGGGTAGTAGCATTCTTCAATGTCTAGGCATATTCCTTAAAGTTTTCAGCATCTTTCTTCTTCATGCTTTATAAGGACAAATGGTCTGGAGCCAAATCTATTATATTTTTGTATTGTGACGAATGCTTTAGCTAGTTCCCTCTAACCACGGATGCAAGATGTATCCAATTGAATATACCACCTTGAAGCAGATCTAGTGAGACTATCTTGAAAAATATGGATGAATAGCTTTTTTTATATATGCATATGCGATCATCTTATGATAGTGCAGAGTGACATGCATTATGGGGCATTTAGTTCTATCATACTTTTCAAATTTAGACACTTTAAACTTGGGTGGAATGACCACATCAGGAACCAAGTACAATTTAGCAGCATCCATTGAACTATAAAATTCATCCCTTAATAACTCAAAGCCTTCTTCAATAAAATCCATTCTGTTAAGATCTAAAGCCTTCTTGCTTTACTATGTTTGTGTTTAACTTTTCTTTTTCTTTGGATCATCAGATAAGAAACTTGAGTTGGATCAAGAATATGAGCCATGTGGGTAAGAATAGCAGTTAAAAGCATGTCAATATGTATGTTAGGCTAGCTTGCCGTAAATAGCATTTGATTGTGGCCTTTTGATATGTCTGTTTGGAATATGTAAGTGGGTAATATTGGAATCATCAATCTTTTTAGCCACTACTTCCCTTTGTTCAAATTCTTTAGCAATTCAACCATATCTTTTAATTGCCTTTTTATCTCTTCTATGCCATTTCCTCTTTGGAGCGAAAAACCTTGTTCTTCTACCATAATTCTAGATTGATATGGAGATTGAGCTATCCTTGACTTTTCTTTACCAATAATTAGGATAATATATTACTAGATGCCAAGAATATTCTAACTTGTTAGAAACATTCTTTTACATGCGTAAATGGATAGATTAATGCACATATTTAATGTGATACACAACAATTCAATGGTGTATGAATGGATAGATAAATGCATGCACATAACAATTTAATGATGCATGGATTGACAAATAACTGTATGAATGGATACATGAGTTAATGTTTGCCCCATAATGATGCACGAATGAACAAATGATTGCCTTGGTTAACATGACTATTTTATGATGCATGAATGGATGAATGCATACATTAGATGCTATATACAAAAAAATTCAATGATGCATGGATGAATGCGTTAATGTTTGCCACATAAAAATGCATGAAAAACTAAATTAACCCAAACTCTTTCAACTTTATCACAAAATTCATACAAATGAAACTACCAAAGTTCCTTCCTGTGTCCTAACTTAAGTTATATTCTAACAATGGGTGGACATAGCTCTAACCTAAGGTTGGCTTTTTAGGGTTTTTCTATATGTAAGGTTAGGCTTCAAATGGAAAGGATTCCATTTTAGTGAAAGTTTTTGCTAGCTCACATAGAGGTTATCACCTCATGAAAATGTAGGTACTTGCTCTCTCCTAATAGAGGACAAAGTTTGGGTATAAAGCTTATGCATGAAATGTATGTGCTGTGTGTGTTAAGAAATATAAAATTAATTTAACAAACTTTCCTATTCAAATAAATAAAAACAAAAAGAATAAAAAAAATTAGTAAACAAGAAGAAATAACAAAAATACTTAAATTAAGCCATCAAAATAAGGCTTTAAATAATTTAAGATTAAAAATTGGCTTAACTCTCTAAATCCCCAGTAGAGTTATCAAACTGTTATAATATATATATCATAGAACTCACCCATTGGATACAAAACATAGAATTACCAACAATCTTTTTTTTTTTTTTTTTACCTTGGTGTGATTGGTCACCTAAGTGAATCTATTCCTTCTAAAGTTACCCTAGCTTAACTAAAAGTCCTTAAAAAGAGTAGGTTCTGATCTTCTAAACAAAACTAGGTTCGAGAGCTTGGTTACATGTAGGAAAAGTTATGGCACTCTTAGAATGCCATAAATTAGTATCATTAATCTTAAATTATCTTTAGCCTTAAAATGGTCTCTTATTCCTAATTCATTTTTATTAATTTATTTGTTTTTTGTTAATTTAATATTTAAATATTATACATATTTTAGGTTTTCTTCAACATTTAGTCAACCCCTAAAAATTTTTCACCTCAAGAGTATTTACAGTAACCCACATATTTGTTTAAAGAGGCTCTGTCATCAGATTTATTAAATATTTTAATAGAAAAAAAGTTAATATACATGATCAAATGCACAATTTACAATTAATCACAAATAATTAATCATGAAAGAAAATCACAATTTGTTTTAAATTTTAATTTTTTCATATTAGAAATAAATAAATTTTTTTATATTTAGATTAATTTCTATCCTCCAACGCTTTGATCGAATTTAAAAAAACTCTCTCATCTAGAAATTCTTAAGAAATTACGCACTCATTTTAGTAGGTATTACCGTTTCTGTGCCATATGTTAATGTAAAGGGGCTTTCTCATGATTGAATGGCTTGTAGTTTTGATCACCCAAAGTATGCTAGAAGTCTCTCTACCATACTATTTTACTTCATCTAACTCCTTTATGAGGATTATTAAGATTTTTTTTATTCATAGATTTCATCTATCCATTTGTTTGAGGATGGGATATTGAGCTGTGCATTAGGGCCACCTTGAAATGTTAGTAGAACCACTTCATTTGTCAACTGAAATTGCATTTTTTTTGTCTGCCACAATGGTGTGAGAGAGGCCAAATCCATCATATGATATACTTCAAGACTAAGTCTTTTACCGTTTTAGCCATGATGGTAACCACAAGTTCTACCTCTATTCATTTTGTGAAATAATTATTGGCTATTATCATGAATTTCTTTTGGGCGGTCACTATAAGGAAAGGTCCTAGGATATCAACACCCTACTGGGTAAATGGTCATAAGCTAAAGATTTGGTTAAAGGCTTCTACTAGTTGTCTAGGGACATTTAGCAAAATTTTGACACTTATCACATCTTTTACTAGCTCTACTGCGTCTTTTTTCATAGTAGGTCAATAGTATCCCTATTTTAATGCTTTTTGTGCTAGTGCTTGTTCACCCAAATAGTGGCCATATACCCTTTCATGAATTTCTCCTATGACATATTCTACTTCAAAAGGGGAGAGACACTAATGAAATTGGTTAATAATGCTTTGTTATATAAAGTATCTCTCACCAAAGCAAACCGTGCTACTCTTTTTTGCATTATTTGACATTCTATTAGATCATAGGGGTACTCATCTTGAAAGTATGCCTTTATAGAAGTCATCCAAATGTCCCCTTATTCTATGCAATAAGATAAATGGAAACTATAAGTACTTGAGTGTAGGTACAATATTTAACAAGAATTTTACCATGTTGCTTGATTTAGATAGATGCTGCCAACTTAGAGAGAGTCGACTTTGGTGTTATCAATGCATGAAAACTTGTTGTAGGGTTATGGTTGCAAAGGGTTGGCTTAGTTGGTGAATGATTGTATGGTATTTGACAAATGTAAGATCTTTGACTTCATATTTACTATTTACTTTACGAGTGACTAACTGAAAATCTATATAGATAATCAAGTGCTCGACATTCAGGCTTGTAGCTAATTCTAGCCTTGTAGCTAAAGCCTCATACTTTACATCATTATTAAAGACAAAGAAATTGAAAGACAATCCATACTGTTATTCTTGCCCTCCTTGGGCTTAACAACAAAATTCTTACTCTCGAGCCCATCCTTTTTCCAATAAACTATCTACATATAATACCCCATATATTTCTTTGGCAAGGAGCCCTACCACTAGAAACCACCGAATAATCTGTGCTGGGTGGTGTGAAAAGTTTTTATTGGTCATTCTACCTTTTGTTTCTTTTGTGGTTCTAATTTGGTTATCTCTTTTTGGGGTTTTGAATTCGTGGGGGAAAGATTGGGTTTTGTAAATTAGTGAAGTTTTGGAGAGAATTGGATTTGAGTTTGTGGTTCAAGTGTGAAAGAGCATTTAGCTAGCAAAATTGCTAA